CTCGCCGTGTGGTCGCGATAGAACCACGCCTGTCGGGCGTCTCGTCAACGAGTTCGTGAGGCTCGCCATGTCGCAAGCGTTTAATGGACTTCCACGTTCGCTTTACGCCCCTGGTGGACGCTTTCTTTATTCGACGCCAGAGAGAGATATTGTCCTCAGTAGAATTCACATTATTCCAATCCAGCAACCGATGGATTGGCGAATTGTTTAACTCATTGTCCAAAACGGTTCGACGCCAGTCTTCGATCGCGTCTTTGATGCCAGTGATTGTTAAGATAGCAATTAGGGGAACAGCACCCAGCCCCGGATTCGAAGCACCGAAAATCGGAAAAAACTAGGAACGCCAGAAGATCAGTTACTTATTGAGCGGATAAGTTGGCGATTTGGGAATACTCACACTGAGGATGATAATGAATAGAAAGTAAACATTGGCGATATTGTGGAACTGAAACCATAAGTTCTTGGGAATAAAGGTTAGGGGCGTGTACTTTGCAGTTCTGATTTTGTTCCTAGCATAATCGGCCACTAGATTGCCGTCTTCGTCCCTATCTTCCGGCGGTATCGGTGTGTTGAAATATATCCTCCGCTGGCCCTCTTCCGACTCGCTTCCTGTCGGAGAGTGCCTGCCGTTGGGCAAACCATTTGCAGCGGATTTGCGCTTCTCTTCCTTAGAGTTCAGTCTGCGGTGAAATCTATCTATGATGGACACCCGCTTCTTAATTCCTCTGGAACCCGCATGTCGCTGTGTTGCCCATCGCATTCGGCGGACCGGCTTCGAGACGTTTGCTTCACCATCGTTCCCGAACTGAACCACCGCCATCAGGGGCTATATGGACGACTGTCTCCTACAGGTCCTAGGAACGAGGGAAAGGAGTGGAAATTGACATCCAGGGCGAACTTTCTGGGGAGAACGAGCGGGAGAAGGTGAAAGGAGCGATGTGGCCGAGTGGCACGGGCAATCTCGACAAGCGAATTACCGGAACCGACAGGATGAAAGGAACCACGTCAACCATAAGTCTACCTCGAGGCAAAAAAAAAAAAAAGTGTCGACTGCCAGTTTGGCTTCTTTCCGCGATGCGAGTGAAATATCGAGGGAGCGGAGTGATAACGACAACGGGCAGTTTGGGAGGTGACGACGAACGATAATAATCGCCGGCGAGCTGTTCTTAGGCTGTGGAAGCGGAGATTCGCGCCCTTTGCCGCCTATGTTTGCGTTGATCAAGGGGGAAGAAATGGAAGCCGAAAAAAGGACACAGTTTGGCCGTCGGGGTATTAGCCCTGTTCAGGCGGTCGCTGGCGTTGACGAGTTGGAACACACCTAATTTAATGCGGAACAACGTTAATCAGGCCCCGGTTTGATCCGGGCGGGACCGCAGCATTGGCTTTGCAGGTGTTTCGTCATCCAAAGAAAAGGTTTCTTGAGGCTGAATACGGAGATCCTTCAATGGAATCAAGGCTGGCGGCGAAAGAAAAGCTTAACTTATCGAATCGCCGACATCGAGCCTTACCTTGCCCCCCCCCAAAGAGTTCCCTACTGCGTGTTACCGTACTTCCCGGCTGGACAAAGGCATCGTTTGAAGCCCGTGGATAGATCGGCTCCTCCCTTGCAGATTTTTAACCGCCTCCGGGCCTACGTACGAGCGGGACTTGGCACTGCGGTTATGTGGAGCCGGTGCAGACATACATAACTTTTTGTGAGCGGATTCAACCCGGCAGAAGCGGACCAATCGCCAGGGGGCTGGGGCCTTCCGGCGCAACTGGTACCCCGTACGGAGAACTCTGTGCTGCATACTGGCCATATAAACCCCCAGGAGTAGTTACACATTGGAGTCGACCATTTGAAGTAGTTTGGAGCAGCAAGGATATGATGTTGTAGAGCAAGTACTCCGTATGTACAGAATAGTTAAGCATTTGATGTGGCTGCTGTCTTAGTTACTGAAAAACCCACAAAGCAAGGCTGAGCACGGTCCACTGAATTGGATCAATGAGTGTCTGGCTTCGCCCAAACCGCAAATTGATTCATCCTGTGTAACTCGCTACGGAGTAACCACCCTGTAGGTAGGCCCCCAACAACAGGGCTCTCACGAATCATGCGGAAGAAGAACTCTATATGAATGAGTCTGTCGATTTATAACTCTGTAAACTGCGCCTTGTGCTCCGTATCGCAGAAGCTGAAACTGCGGCGTCATAGGGCGATGGAAGCCAGAAGAGGACACTTTTGACGCGAACCAATCCTCCGTGCGCCGTGACGGAACCTTATGTCGTCCAGACGTCGTGTGGCGTCGGGCGAGTCGTCGGCCATACCGATATCCAGAAAAGGATATATTGGTGGATTATTAATAGCGCCTCAGTCACGTGGACTCGCGACGGCTTGTGTGGAACGCGGTCGCGACGCAGAACGTTGGCTTATCGACTGGAGCTGCGTCTCGATCAGGGTGGAAAAGATGCTTGTCGCACTGTGCACAACTTCCATGGGAGACTCTATGTAAAATGGCAAAAGAGCGGACGATTGCCAGCTACTTCACGACCTCCACAGGTGCATCCAAAGCTGCCGATAACACTCCAAGCCCACCCTCCTCCCCGCTCAGCCCTTGTCCATCGAATATCTCCTCACAGACCTTCTCGTCGCCCACAAAGCCGCCGCCACGGCAAAGTCCGCTGAAGAATACACTTACCTCGCGGCTTTCACTCTCAAACGATGGGCCCACTATCTGCAACCCAAAACCACCCCCTTCATCACAGCACACGTCCTCTGGGACAAGCTTCGGGAGCTCTCAGCGAGTGGTCAAGGATGGTCAGGTTGTTGTGACCGGTACTGATGGAGAAGATACTGAATCCATCTATTCCTTCGGGTCTGATGATGACCTCTGCCGAAAACTTCTGGGCTCGGGAAGTCCGTTGCGTCCGTCTGAAAAGAAGGGAACCAGCCAAATACCTACGACACCGCCCGGATATAAGTTCTCCCTAGAAGATTTGGTTACCCACGCCGTAGACGATAGGGAAACTGAAGCCAATATATCAAGATTGAGACTCTCTTTTAAAGGCCCGGGAGAGAACAGTGGCCCAAGCAAGGTCAATAGAACCCCAAAGCAACGAAGCAGGATGTTTCGCGATAGTATTTTGGCGTCGGCCGTCGGCGAAGATACAAACACGGAGACAATGCAACGGCTAAAAGCCGCAGTTGATAGGACAGAAGCAGTCGACCAAGGGAAGACCTGGTCTTTTTTCGAGGACACAATCTCGTCTGTGCCTCCACCGAAATTTCCTGAAAAGTCAGTTGCTCCAGGCTCCTGGGAGTCCGTTCTAACAGGCGAGTATCGTATCCTCCACCAAGGTTCCCTTGGTTGTTCTAACCAAATTACGTAGTCCCTGAGACGCGCGAGAGGGCGTTTTTCTCCGGTTTAGTCGGAGAATCATTATCCGGCAACACGCTTCCTGACGAAATTTTTATCTGGATCTTTCATGCCTGTATAGTTCTCCCTTTTTTGGCAGACTGAGTTGAGATTAACGTGATTTCTAGGTACAACGGAACCTCGCAATGAGGTCCGATTCGCTTACTGCAGTGCCATCAAAGTTTGTATCCTAATTTTTTTTTTTTTTTTTTTTTTTTTTTTTTTCCCTCCTACTGGATTCATGAACTAACTCTCTCAGGTGGCGCCGGCAAAACGCGTATCGTCTCTTATACATTCCACTCATATTGAACAGTTGTTCCGCAATCTAGGAGCCCGGCAAGATGCTCTCTCAATTCAAGATGTCGTCATGCCCGATTTCCATGCTTTAAGCCGTAAGTCATCTTATGCACCCATTCATCCCGTGGTCTCTAATTTCCTTAGGTCCCAAGCCGAAGGACTATAAATATCTCTTGTCTGCTCTCGATGTTATAGACGGTATAGCATCAAAGTAAGATCACCTGCCTGTGCTTTCTTTAAAATCAAACCAACACTCGATATGCTATAGGCTAAATAACGATGCGCGCGATTATGCTTTGAAAGTCGCTCTGCGCCTCACACTTGATGAAACCTCTATGCGCGATTGCTTTGTGTCCGCAGCAACTCAACGGGCAATAACATCTCTTCTAGGAGAGGGTGTCTTACTTACAGATTTAGCTGTTAGTCACCCAGCCCACTGTGGCAGTACAAATACTAATTGCAAGTAAAGCTTTACGAACTCTCTGTTGTCCTGTATAACACAATTAAAGACCCCGCACTCCAAAGCCAACTATTAAAGCACATATCCCCAGCGACGCCAAAGGTAGCGCTGTTGCGATGCCGTTTAGCAGCTGCGTTCTTTTTTGAAGATAAAACCTTCCTTGATAAGCCAGCGGAGCTAGTATTCGATTTAAAGCGAATGACGATCCGGTTGCAGGACGACCGGTTCAAAATACACCGTTCAACGCCCACAGGACAAGAACCGCTGGACTACTGGGAGCTTAGTGCTATCACATCCATCCTAGATGTTGCAATTGGCTCCGGGACAGCCGAGAAGTCTTTTCCGAACAAAGAGAGCGAAGCCAAATTCAATCGAGATGTGGACAAGCTAGCAGAGCAAATTAAAGTCATATTCACGGCGATCAAGGACACAGGAGCTTCACATCTAAAACGGACGGAAGCAAAAGAGTATCTGCAGGCCCTTCATTATCGTCTGATATATGGCGTTCGAACAAAGCCACGTCCAAAGGTTTCTTGGTTTGTGCCCTCCAAGAGTGGAGGTGTGGCTGACGAGTCCTGGAGTGGAATTAAGAAGAGTGGAAATCTAATGGACAGGTTTTTGTCCCGCGGGAAAGATAACGATTCCAATGATGGCGACCTCTCCGACCAGGCTACTGATATGCGACTATGAGCGATCTCCCCAGAGACAGCCATAACGTAATGACCTTGACGATTTACTCAATGCCGTCGCCCCAACTCCCAGCGGAGGAAGCAATTCCCTGGATATTATGTATTTAAAATATGTTTGAAATAATATCGGCACTAGTATAAGCCCGCCCGTTCTTATCCCAAAACTACCAGTAGAAAGCCTCTACGTAGGAAAAAGACGCTATAAGATTAGAACATAGCCAAACAAAAGCGTAATATCACATATAATGTGGCTCAGCTCTAGCGAAAGACCAAAAAAAGAAAGGAAGAAAAGCCCTAGCAGCAAGAAAGCGTGCGTACTCCGCACAAAGCTTCAATCGTAGAATTTCCGGTTTTCGTTCTTGCCGAACAGCAATTCTCGAACCACCGGAAGCGCGTCTGATTCAAGGAGCCTAAGCCGCTCTTCGAAAGTATTGATGATCTCGATCTTGCCCCCGCCGCCGACGGTGATAACACCACCCGCGCTAAAGCAACATGCAGATTAGAATCCTCTCAACTACCAAGAGAAATAAAAAAGGAAAAAGGGAAAAGGAGACTTACGATGCTTCCGGAAGTGGCTCACTCTCGTCAAGTTCCACAGAAACCTCCTTGCCAACTTTCTCTTCGAACTCTTTGGCCGCCTCCTTGCCAGCCTTCTTGACCGCGTCATAATCTTTCTTTCGCGCCCGAACCTGAATCTTATTCTCGTTCAATGCATACAGTCCTTCGAGCACCAAGCCCTTCAAAACCTCCCCGTACTCTTTCCTCTCCTTTTCCTTGGCCTTGTTTCTTTGGCCCTCCTCCAAGACAACACTCAGGCTCTCTCTCGCTCGCTCAAACAGCTCATCCAGCACAGCCTGTTTCGCAGACAAAACACGCAGGCGACTCTTATTCGCGAGCGTCGAGCGAGTGATCTGCTGAGACATAGCGGCCTGTTTGAACTTCTTTTCGTAGAGGGTGTCGATCGCGGCAGTCTCCTGGCGGACGAGCTTGGACTTTTCAATGGCAAATTCTTCGTCGGCTTTGATTTGGATCTCACGGGCCTTTTCTAGGGCTTCTTGTTTTATGAACGCGGTCATTTTGCGGAGCTCGCCCGCGACCTGAGGGGAGGTTGTGGTTAGTCGGCGGTTGGGAGAATGGAACGGCCGTCGGGGGGGACTGGGTTGGTGGACAAACGCATACCTGGTCGTCGGATAGTGCATGGCTTTGTGACATTTTGAATGACGATGTATCCGATGGAATTAGTAGGCGTGGACCGGAGGAATAAGCGCAGAAGAGCCGGAAGGAGGGAGGTTGGAGGTGCTGGTGACCTTGACTTTGTGCAGTGAAACAACGGAAACCAGTAGGGGCAAATCCAGATGCGAAAATGAGCCTATCAATGAACTTCTGCCACTTATACAGCTATTGATGTTGGCTGGATAGGTCAGATGATAGCTTCGACGTTCATCACGCAGTTCCAGGTACCCCAATAACTATGGGCCGCCATCGATGAATGCAACTCGGGCCTTGGCATCATGTTTACGTAATTTGGGTGAGATCTGATAAGATGCCTTGATAAGAGTGACTGCTTCGTCATTGGGTTAGTTTGTCTTGTTTGTTTTGTTTTCGCAGAAAGGCCTCTGGAAAGTACGGAAGACTCCGTCGAGACGGGTCGATAATATCTAGTCGTTACCAAGGAGGCGCCTTATAGCAAAGTCCGTAAATAGCTTAGCAAAGTTGTATGGCACATCATTGTTGAGCTGCCAACATTTTAAAACCACCATGCTGAGACGCTGATGTCAACTCTGGCGCACCATGTGGGAACTACGGAGTACAGCGGACCCAGACCACCGACCAGCGCAGGCTACGCCGTCTTCATCCAACATGGTCCCCTTTCATCCAGGTGCTCTTCAGCTGGCACATTTCTCTTGCATTATATGACTCTACCACATTCTATACTTATGATGTCCGTCTCGTAACGGGATGCAGCTCTTGTTTCGTATGTACAAGAATCGGGAACCCCATGCATAAGGAACGCTCGAGATGGGCGAGCTCGGTGGCTTATCACCCCAGGGCAGCATTGCGGTACGCGAACAAAAGCATTCGAGTTTCTAGTAGGATATTTACTGATCTATGCTTCTAAGCAGATTGGTGTTTTGGTTGGCCTAATCTCGACGAGCCTTCAAGCCATCGGACTGACGCTCCAACGCAAATCACACATCCTCGAAGATGAAAAATATCCATACGATAATCGCAGACCACCGTATAAACGCGCAAGATGGCAGGTATGGATATGGACATATGGTCACCCTTAGGACATGTGTACTAATCGGAAACAATAGCTCGGGATGTTTATGTTTGTTCTCTCCAATATCGTCGGGAGCACGATCCAGATCACGACCCTACCTCTCCCGGTCCTTTCCACTCTCCAGGCGGTATCTCCCAGGATTCCATGAAATATGCTCGTGGGCAAGAAGCTTACAAACTACAGGCAGGGCTTGTCTTCAACACGATCTTTGCAACGTTGATACTGGGAGAGCCATTCACTCGTTACTCTTTCGGCGGCACCGTTCTCGTATGCGTCGGGGCAGTATTGATTGCAATATTTGGAGCTATCGGCGAACCGGCGCATACTCTGGACCAGCTTCTTGAACTTCTGAGTCGCCCACCGTTCCTTCGATGGATAGCGGGAACTGCTGTGATTGTCGTGGTGACACTCCTCGGCGCCCGTTTGCTGAAAAACGTCTCAACCCCTGGCAGGACCAGTGGCTGGACTCTTTTGAAGCTCTCAAGATCGCACTCTCCGTATCACCATCATCACCACCACAGCCCACGTTTGAAGACGCTTCGAGGAGTCCTCTTTGGCGCTGTGAGTGGAATACTTTCTGCGCATTCACTTCTTGTAGCGAAAACGGCAGTTGAGCTGCTCGTTCGCACCATTCTCGATCGAGTGAACCAATTTAATCGGTGGCAGTCGTGGATTATCCTCCTCGGCCTGGTAGTACTCGCCCTTACCCAGTTATACTACATGCACCGCGGCCTCAAGCTCTGTAGCACCAGCATCCTTTACCCATTCGTATTTTGCGTCTATAACATTATCGCCATTCTGGATGGATTGATATATTTCCACCAAGCATCACGATTGTCAGGATTGCATGCCGGGCTTATAGCGTTGGGGACGGTCATTTTGCTCTCGGGTGTTCTTTGTCTCTCGTGGAGATTGGAAGAAGTCACGACGCAGCCAGAGGCTGGCCCTGCAGCCGCCGCCCTAGTTCCAGGACTCGGCATTTTGGAAGAACAAGCCACTTCTCCTACATACACTGATTTTATCTACCCATCCGACGAAGAATCATATCCTGCGGAGCGACAGCCACTACTATTACATTCACCGACCCAACAAACCACCCCGTCGCGCCGTTACACGCCCACCTTTTCTCGAATATCACCTCAACAGCGGCACAGCATCAATATAACCAACGAAGCAGCCCAGATATGGGCCGAACTCCACGACGAGAGCAACAACATCACCACGCAAGAACAGGACCGCGTCCCAACATCTCCAACTCCCTTCCACCGTCACCGACATTCTCATCACAAAAGCCAACGCAGCAAGAGCAGCGCTGCGCCCTTTCCGCCCAATGACATCAGCACACCTCAACCATCGTCCCCCGTCACCGGAAGAGAGAGATCCATAAAGTGGAAAAGCATATTCAAAGCAAGTCCAAGCAGTCGCTCCCGCCAACATCGCAACGGCAACATGTGGCGTCGTGCATCCACTCCTGTGGTGGCAGAAGAGAACCACGAGGGTCGGAGGACGATCATACAGAGAGATGTAAGTGCGAATGCGAGGACGACGGCTCGCACGGATATACCAAATGGATCTCCGGAGGCGATACGAGCTTCTCTGGACGAGACACAACAAACCGAGCACGACGATGGGGAGGAAGTTATGTCCAAGGAAACGTGGTTTGGTCGGCTATTTCGTCGGCGCCGATAAAGGTTGTATTAGACCTTTTTTTTTCCTCTGTATCCACTGATAGTATTACACCCCGAATAATAATTTTTCCTATTACCAGATATTATTTCATTAAACCTCGAAGTCGTAGACCATCAACGATAGAGAAATTAAAGGCCAAGAACACTTTCGGAAGGCATGCTGCACCGGGGACAATGTTGATAGGCGCCATCAACACACCCCCAAAGGGGGATCCGATATTGTTGTGGCTCAAGTAGAGAGAGAGTAAAAAAGAGTTTTTGAACAGAATCCCTATGACATTCTGCAAGCCATCATCGGAAGGCAATGTTGAAGCATAGAAAGCTAAAAGGTAGGAAGATAAAGCCCTATAGAACACATGATACAACAGAATAGCAGAAAGAAACAAAACTGAGATGCATAACTCCACCCCCATGTCGTCGCAGAAAAATATTTCCCATTTTCCATGGGTAAAACACAGATATCATAAAAGGGGAAAAACGGATTTGGAAGGGAATCCCACGTGGGTTGCTTACCAGTGCGGGATGAATATCAAGGCAAGATTTACCCAGCTCAACCGAGATCATTGAAGACAGCCGGGAGCAGAGGTGGTCATAAAATATTTAGGGGTAACTAGTGCAAAACCGCAGCATCGAGCAAAGTACCCGAGGAAATAAGATGCGAAATATAATTATGACGCAAGTGTACCACATATTGCAAAAGCAAATGAAAACAGAATTCCCACCACGAATACACCAGTAACACCCAAGTCTCTGGAGGTCTAAACACCCGCAAAAGGAAACCAGAGGTAAAATACTCGGAACAGGCTAGAGTGATTTGTGTCTTTTGTCCTTCAGTATTCTGCGAGGCCAGTTAGTGCCAGTGGTGGTAGGGCGGAAAGCTAGACAAGAAACACAAAAGCCACGAACAAATGCAAAAGGGATCAAACAAATAGTGTATAGGAATTGGGCATAAGGACAGGTAAATGCGATCCAAAACAGAATTGGCCTATTCGGGAGGGGATGGGGGTTTTTAAAAAAGATCTCGATAGTGTTGGGAGACGATGATGAAGGAGAGTGTTCATGGAAGTGTGCTAAAAGGGGGCAGGATTGAGTAAGGGGATGAACATAAACATATGGGTCAAGTATTCAATGGCCAGAAGATAGAAACAGCAGTGAGGGGGATAGCGTAAAGAAACACATTAAGCTGTGGGTTGGTGCTGCGGAGGTATACGACCACCAACTGGCATCCCCGGATACTGACCTCCAGCCTGTGCTTGTTGCTGTTGTTGTTGGAGATTTTGATAGTAGGCCATCTGTTGCTGCTGGTCGGCGGTCATATAGCCTGGATGCATGGGGCCAGGCCGCGGGATTTGCGCCTGCTGAGCGCTAACACTAGCGTGGGAGACATCGTCGGCCGTCTCTGAGGGAACTTCGGGCGCCTCAACGCCATTTTCGGCGCTGGTAGGCTCCGGAGCATTCAAACAGGACTATAGTATCACCGAATTAGAGTATACATCAAAAAAAGTGCAATAATATGTATGGCGAAATGGTGAAAAACGTACTTGAATTAGGTTCTTCCCCTCCGCCTTGGTGACGAGAGGCTGTAGTTTGGGAGTTGTGAAGGTGTATACAAGGCCAGTCTCGGAGACTACTAGTAGGAGTACTTGGGTACCGGTGAGGACCGACAATTCATATGCCTATAACGCAACAATAAGAAGCAATCAGCGACTATCAACAATGTATCAATGAGAAGGACTGGGCGCTAAAGGTGGTAAAGTTCCGTGGATTGGAGCTTAGCCGGTATCAAATCCGATTTAAACTCACCTTCTTCATGATTCCAGCCTTTCGCTTTGAGAACGTGATGTGGCGACGGGACTTGTCCTGGATGAATTTGATTTCGATCTTGCGACGCTCACGTCCCGGCTTGTCCTCATCGTCGTCGTCGTCCTCAGCGGTACTGAGACGGGGACGCTTGGTGCCTCGATTTTCGACAGCTCCGTTGCCACCTGGAACGAGGTCTTCCTGGGTTGGAGAAGGGTTCTCATCGGCGACAGCGGTGATGTCAGTCATAATTGAAGAAAATGTGGGTGGAATTAAAAATAAAAGGTCGAAGATGGATGTTCGTGGTTGATCCAGTGAACAGTGATACCCAAAGAGGTATGATGTTTGCGAGGATGAGGGCACGCCGAATTGAGTAACGCGTTGGCAGTTGGGGATGTCAGGTTTGGGTAAGGTCGCGATGGATCAAGAATTTGGGGGGGGGAAATGGGAAAAGAAAAGGGAAGTGAATTAGGAAGGGAGCCGAGTCCTGAAGGGGGAAAACGCGGAAAAATATGACATTTCGAATACGCCGGATCAACTGCCGGACCGGTCAGATACCTGTTTTAAATAAAGGGTGTTGGTCACGGACGCAGCGCGGTTACGCCTTAGATTACCGCTAGCCTCGTATTCGATTCGGGCGGGTCCGGCCTTCCCTGTGGTGTTTACGCAATTGGCCCCCTTCCGCATTCGATCGCCCGCTAACAAATACTAGCTGATACTAGCCTGTACATACCAGTTTCAAATTACCCGCCTTCCATTGGCTGTCTCGTGGGCATCCCCTCGTCCTTTGCGTATGCATACGTATCCAGATTACTAATTGGCTTGTCACCACCCTCCTAACCCAGTCAAGTTTGGCGCCAATCAGCAGTCACCTGCCTGGTCGACCCCAGCTTGTGAGCCATGATGTCCGTCGCTGCATCGGCTCGCCCTCCATTTAGTAACATCGCTCCGGGCTTCCACTGACAAATGCAGCCCCATCCTCCGGGCTACGGTTGGTGCCGTAGTTCGTAGAAAGGATACTCCGGACCAAAGGCGCAAAAGAAATTTTTGGGAATTATTAGCTACGGACTATGAACGGGGAAGATAACCAGTGATTTTCTCACTTTTTAACGGGGTGCTTTCGAGCCTTGAATGACGATGGGGGCCAAGTTTAACAGGATGCATTCTCCCATTGACACCAGTACTGAAAGCCGTCCAGCGTGTTTGTCCCGCGCGGTGGTTTCTTTTTTGCATGAGACAGGCAAAACTGCAGTTTGAACTCAAAAAAAAAGAAGACCAACTACATCTTGCCCGTCGCTTCGGATACTTGTAAAAAAAAATCTAGTAGTGCACTTGACACATTTCTTGCACGATGTGTCTCGCAACCAGACACTGAAACCATCACTTAGCGGTATGTCTGTAGATAAAGAAACCTGATTTGATAGCTGTCCTTTTCGAAGAGCCATGCAGTTTGGGCAATCGTTTGTCCAACCCCCCGCTCTTTAGACGAGCACGGAATATCGCTCGACATGGTCTTTACTTTTAGCTTGTCTTACTTTCCAAAAAAGCAGCAATTTGGTCAAAGCCATCAGGCTCTTTAATCCAGTGTCCTTCATTTTCAGCCCTGGAATATTCGTAAAATTTCACATCCATCCCCATCTCCTTTAAAAGCTGACACGCCTGTTGTCCCAGAGAAATATCCACAACAGCATCGTCGGTCCCGTGGAGCAATAGTACAGGCGTAGACAGCACAGCCTTTACCTCCTCGGGCTTTGAGTCGAATGGAGGGCACCCCGTTGTTCCAAGGAGAAAGGCAGGCATTATTAGGCACATGGATGTCCCGAGCTCAGAGGCATACTTCGATCGATAAAGCTGAATTGCCTGGTCGATATGCAGAGTGAAAGGTATCCACCCGCAACATCCTACGAATGCGCCAATCCTTCCCTTGACGCGCCCGGGGGAACAAAGTAGCGTCCACAATGCGGTAGCCATTCCCTGGCTCAACCCACCAAAGATAATATTGTCCGACCTGCCGCCTAACAACTCGATTTCCCGCTCAATAACGCCTAGGACATATTGGCTAGATTCTTTCAAGCCTTGTATTTGAAGATCCTGTCGCCTATTGGTATCGGCCAATGAAGCTATGTCAAACCATGCGGATTGATGTTCCATAAAGGTAGCGTTCCAGCGACTACCGGAGGATGGAAAGACCCATCGCCAGCTAGGAAACAGGGATGGAAGATCCTGCCCTCCAGATGTTTTAGAGGAGAAAAGGTCTTCAGTGACCTCCGGTCCATTACTCCCCCGGCCGTGCAGGAAGATAGCAGTATGCGTGTGTGGAGCTTGGGGCTCAACAATATGCAGGTCGGGGAATGTCGTGTTTTCGGCTTCCATATTCAACGCCTTATCCAGTTTGTTATCAACCAATACTTTCGTGTTTGAGGAGTGATTTTGAACTGGCGAACGGCCTGACCAACCATATCGACTATCACAACTGATACACAGATTTGTATCGCTCGATATCCAAAAGTTTAAAGCTTTCGCTGGTTAGAGGGAGTGCAGCGACCCAGAATTGGACATGGATTTTGCCGCGCGTTAGATATGGATAGCTTTCCAGAACCGCCCTGAGACTCGCAAGTACGGAGTGACCATGGAGGGGCCCGAAGTAAAACGTGGACGTGGACAGTGATCACCCCGCTTCGGCGCTTCGGAGCAACATAGATCCAGCAAAACCAAACTGATGAAGGACTTGTATGCTTATCATTCACCAAGCTACCTAAAGGGGATCTCGGCTAATCTATGTGGGTCACGTGAGCGAGGTGCTAGTTGGATTACCTAACACCCCCCCATGCAACAAGCTCCAGCAGTGAGCAAGAGCCACAAAGATTCAAAAGCTTTCAAATCTCTCAAATTGTTACAAATGTAGACCTAGACCAACCAAGCATTGAACAACATCAGATGTTCAGGGGTACTCACATGACCCCAACTCTGAATGTATAAGAATCACATGATTTACACAGATCATAGGGACCTCAGTGTTCAGTTTCCTAGTTGGAGGACCCTTACATTCTATGCATAAATCTCTTTCATCAGTTGCAGGCATCATATCTACTTAGCTCTTTCATACTCTAAATTCTAGAAAAATCTACATAATCTACAGCTGGTTCTTCTAACATTCTAAACACTCCAATATATAATTATCTAAGATAGTACAATGTTATCAAGACTCACAAGACAAATTACAACAACATTCTATATTGCAGATCTGACAGAGATAGATATCAATATAAAGAAAACAAATATTGATGAAGATATTAGTAGCAGTAAAGTTATCACTAGCAAAACATCAGCAAATAATATAGATAATAAAGATGCACTTTTTAATATATTAGACAAAACCCAAAAAGAAGAGATCTTTAAAGAAAAGAAGATATATCTACAAAAGAATCTAGCAGATATATATAAACAGAATAAAATATACAGACTGTAAAAACAAATTAAATACAAACAGAGAATAGTAAATAATAATTTTCTCTTAGAGTTTCTCTTATGCACATAACTGATAGAAAAGTCAGATAATTTTAATAATATAAAATCTTTAAAGATATTTTATTATTATAGTAAATTACTTGGCAAGTGCAAACTGTAGTTAGCTTTAATAAGACAGTAATTTTGTCTGAGAAAATTACTACAAAAGATATCAGATGCAGTCAGAATTAATTAAGTGTTCAGTTATTTTTGTGATAAATCTCAAATATATTAACAGATGTTAAGAATAAAGAGAGAATAATTACTTATATTATGAAACAAATTTAAGATATAATATAAGAACAATATTAAATCTGAGATAACTTGCAGTTAAGATATAATGCAGCACTATTATAATGCTGTTCAACAGAAAAATTAATTAGTACTCTTGTTTTTCATGTACATCACCAAACTTGAACAAGATCTAGATAATCTATCAGATAAATTCTTTTGCATACTCTTTCTACAGATAAAGCTCAGACTAATTATTCAGGCTGAACTAAATAAACTACAACATCAACCAAAAATAGTTGTGAAATTATAAGAACAAGCAATACTTATTGAGTTTATTCTAGAAAAGAAAAAGTAAAGTTAGTAAAACAAGAACTAAAATAAGAAGAAACAGAAAATCTCAATCTCTTAAGAGAAAAATATGTTCCAACAAGACAATAAAGAAGATTACTTATAAATAAAGAAAATGTTAGTAAATATGAGAATTGTATATATGAATCAGCATGACAATGAATCTCTAGAAGAAATATATATGAAAAAAGAGTACATGAGGTAAAAGATCTGTATTCTGATAACTATATACAACTTGTAAACAAGATTATCATTGGCTTCTAGCAAGAGATTTATACAATGACAGTCTTTTATATGTGCTTGAAAGCATATAACTTAATATCTTATAAGAACACATGCAGCTTCCAGCAGCTTGTAAGCTGAGATCTCTGGCTCTTGCAGATATTGTTTGTTTATATAAGAAGTTTGTAGCAAATTCTTACAAATTCTCTTCTCTTATAAGTCTTGATTTCTCAAGATAGTGTAGTGGGGATTCTGGTACCTCATTAGAACAAAGGTTGTTCCAGTCTGAGGCACAAACCACCCCAAGCTACTATTCTTGAGCTATATAAACCACCTGTAGCCCCTGCTTCTTGCTTATTACCTTCATGCACCATTGCTCTTTTCTACACACTTGTTCCTTACTACCAGTTTGGTTATTAGTTAGAGAATATGAAGATTTCTTGTTTATGAAACTTGCTACTGTTTCTTATTAGAGCTGTCTATGTTAGTACAGGGCTCTTTAGTACTATTACTTCTTGCAAGCTTAGGTATCTGTTAGAACATATCTATCTCTACACTTACTACTCAATCATACCCTTACTATGTGGTGATTTTTCATCTTTCTTGTGCTCTCACCATATCAACCAACTCACCTACTTTGATGAGGCATCCCATTGTACCCCACTTCAATAGCTGTCTCATTAAAAATCTTTATAAGTAGAAAAATAAAAAACCTCTTGGGAAAAATAAAAATTTTCTTATAAGAAAAAGAGTACAGCTTCACTAGAGATATAATATTAACACAACTCTAGTAACACAACAGAACTCAATAACACAATAATATTTAAAAAATCTCTATTATTCTTACTAGTTCTGTGTTACTATTAGATAATAAATACTAGTTTAAGAGAGAGCTTTCTCTTACTTTCTCTTTCTCTTCTTTTCTTCTCTTTCTTCTCTACTTTATATTATTATTATCAAGATAAGTAAACTTTTCAAGCACTGCTTTATATAAGAGACAGACTTGCAGAAGATCTCTGATATTCTGAAAGAAAAATAACTTCACTTTAATATTTTACACATTTAATTAAAAGATCACAAGCTGGTAAGTTCACTTCTGATTATATCTTTGCTTCAGATGACTATTAGATTTTGTCTTTATATAAAGTTTAGTTTACAGAGAGACTGATGCTTGCTAGTAGTTGCTATCAGTATACAATCTTCTTCTTCTTTCTTTCACAACTTATCTCTACTTTTTTTTCTTAAGAGAATTTGCATCTCTTCTTTTACAGATGAGATTGGGCCTTCAGTAAGTAATTATAAGAAGTTTGAGAAATGTTTACAACTGATAGTTCTAGAGTATTATTATTCTTTCTTCTTTCTTTTTATTAGTTATTGCTATCTTTCTCATACTAGCTCAAGCTGTAAGTGCTTCTCACAAGCTAATATTGATTTGCATGCTAATAAAGTTAGAGTTTTGTCACTCTGTCTTCTCTTTCTGTAGTTATTGCTCCAGCTCCAGCCAGAAATGTAAGTATTCTCTATTATATTTTAGTTCACAGCTAATCTTCTTTAGATTATTATTGTTGTTTCTCCTGCACCAGCAGGGTTTGTAGATATTATAATTTTATAAAGTACTTGAGATTACTCAGCATCTCTTCTGTAAGACTAACAATAATAATTTCAGATCATCTTTACTCAAATATCACCAGCTGCTACTTTTACTAATGTATTACAGATTAATTTAGTAGTTCTTCCAGATCTTCTATTTCACACAGGAGCACAAGCTTTGTCTGCTTATGAAAAAGCATAGTATTGTGAGCCTATTTAAAGATCTATGCTTATTGCTGGTTTGAATAATTCAAATTAGTTAGCTGTGTATATTCAGCTCTGTAAGAGAATTCTTATGACTTAGACTGGGGTCCAGCTATTATCTGAACAGAAGTGCTCTGCCTGCAAGAGAGCTTAGCAAGACTATAGTAATATAGTCTTTACAAAGTGCATCTCTGTTACAAATATAGATCTAGATCAATCAAGCATCAGACAATATCAGATGTTCAGGGGTATTCACATGACTCCAACTCTGAACATATAAGAATCACACAATTCACATGAATTATGAGAACTTCAGTATTCAGTCTTTTGGTTAGAGAACCTCTATGTTCTATATATGACTTTCTCCCATCAGTTGCAGATAATATATCCACTTAGCTCTTTCATATCTCTAATTCTGAAGAAATCTATATAATCTGCAACCAGTTCTTCTAACATTCTGAACACTCCAATATATGATTGCCTAAGTCAATACAATGCTATCAAGACTTATAAGATAAATCATAACAACATCTTACATTGCAGATCTGATAGAGATAGATATCAATATAAAGAAGATAAACATTAATGAAGATGCTGGTAGCAGTGAAGTCATTATTAGTAAGATACTAGCAAATAATATGGGTAACAGAGGTACATCTCTCAATATATTAGATAAAATCTGAAGAGAGAAGATCTTTGAAGAAAAGAAGACATGTCTGCAAAAGAATCTAGCAGATATATATAAACAAAATAAGATATACAAACTGCAGAAGCAGATAGAATACAAATAAAGAATAATAAACAATAATTTCTCTTTAAAGTTTCTCTTACATACATAACTAATAAAGAAGTCATAGGCTGGTATTCAGGACTGGAACAGGATTTCATTTCTTATTGAATCTGGTCCCAGTCCCAAATTTAAAAACAGCCAGAATCTCAAATATAAAATCTCAGTTTCATATTCCATTCTACTTAAGAGCTTGAGATCCTCTTCCCATCTCTATTCCAGAAATTATTTTCTGGTCTCATTCTCAAATAGAAAATTATGTCCCACATTCTATTTCAGCAGAGATGATAGACTTCCATTTTTTATTCCAGCCAGATCTATAGTGGGACCAGAATAGGACCAGAATTCTCAGTCCTATCATGTCAAATTTATAAGGAAGAGTCAAACTGATCAAATTTTATATGAACTGTTACCAAATTTTGTTACTTTTTTAATGAAGGCAGAACCCATAGAAAAATCAATTTGATTATCAAAAGAAATAAAGTATTAAAACTAACTAATAGTTAAAGCCAGTAAACAAACAGGAACTACCTAAATAACAAGTTAATTATCATTATTATCATCTTTATTATTATTATTATTCTTCTTCTCTCTCTTCTTCTTCTTCTTCTACTTCTTCTTCTTCTTCTTCTTCTTCTTCTTCTTCTTCTTCTCCTTTTTCTGCTTCTCTAGAACTGACTTTGTGAACCAGACAGGGGCTCTAATACCTGTTATTTGATGGGTGAAGACCCTGATGGTGCCAGGGGAAGGCAGAGAGGCAGTAGTGGATGATGGCAGTAGTGGTGGAGTGGTGGCAGCAGTAGTTGACAGGGTGGGAGCAGTATGCAGGCAGCAGATAGTGGCAGCAGAGACAGGGCAATCAGATGCATCAATCAGACCAAAATAATTTAATCTGATTTTAGTATTAATGTCAAGAACAAGCTTCATATCATCAGTATTGATCATAACATGCTTACAGTGTATTATTACCATAACAAAGTCTATATTACTCAGTATAATTATTGATGCTATTACTAAAGATGACTTATACTTAAATAGAGCACACAAGATTACTTTAGCTGTCTTCTAAAGTAACTTAATAACAGTATATTATCAGTAATATTCATGTTCTTAATGACAGAATAAAGTAATTTTCCAAATTAATTACTAGAACAGAGCCACTGGCAAGATTAGCTTGATAGAGCTCTGGAAGTAACAGATTTTCTTGATAGTATCTATTTTCACTAATTAGTATCAAGATCATTATCAAAAATTATTAGTTTTTAATATATAAGTGCCAGTCTTTTAATTTTGAACAGAGAAGCAGGAGCAGGAATTCTTCTAATTAAAGTTAGTCAGATCAACATCTTTATTAACTTTACATTAATTATTCTTCTTTAGGGCTCATTCTTTCAATACAGTCTTGTGCTACTTCTCTCCAGCTATGCAAAATAAATATGCACAGAGAAAACTAATATCTTATCAGTAAATAATATGCACCAGAGCAGTATTTTACAAGCACTTATTTCTTAATATAATCTATTTTATTGCAGTATATGTTCATTATACACATGGACATCAAAGTACAGTAAATAAAAAGATGGTGGAGAGAAAAGAGAAAGAGAAGAGAATTATTAACATTAGTTCTGAAGAGAAAGAAGAAGAAGAGAAAGAGAAAGAGAAGAAAAAAAAGATTGATCTGATATTATTATTCTGTAGTCAGTATAGCAACAACACATTAATCTTGTCTATAGTAATATGTCTGTAGAATGTAAACAATATGTATAGTAATTATTCTACAGTACTTAATTAATATACTTTATAATCTTATTATTCTGTAGCCAGTATAGTAACAATGTGTTGAGCTTGTCTATAGCAATATGTCTGTAGAATGTAAATAATGTGTATAGTAATCATTCTATACAAGTACTTGATTAATATACTCTATAATCTTATTATTCTGTAGCCAGCAATTCAACTTATCACATACAACTGTGAAGATGGAGTCAAAACAATATTTAATAAGAGAGAAGATCTATACAGTACAGAAGCACCATCAGATCTTGAAAGATTATTAAAAAGATATATTTAAGACAGGAGAGGCAGATCACAAGATATACTATAATATACTGAAAAGAATCTGAGCAAAATATAAGTGATATATACTCTTAGTAGTTTGCATTGAATTATATTAATATTCATTACAGACAGAATAGCAGTAAGAAAAATCACAAGATAATTAAAAATAAAGCTATTGAAGAGTTAATGATTAAGTAATTTGCTAAGAGCAAGTCAAAAAAGTATTATAAGCATCAGCTCATGATCTCTCAGCAAAAGAAGAGAGAGAAAGAGAAGAAGCATCATTAAGAAAAGATTACAGAGACTGAGAATAAAGCTTAGCAGAAAAAAAAGATAGAATTCAAAAGTAATAAAATTTGGTAACAGTTCTGATATATTTAGGCCAAAACAAGCCAGACACAGCATTCTATTACTATATATAAAGAGGCCTGATTCTGCTAAATAATAGCCAGACTTGAGATTAAGATTATAGCTTATGATTATAATTATCTTGCTGCAGTCAGTATGTTAAGAGAGAAAGTTAAGAAGAAGATAAGAGAATTTCTGAGTTAATTATAGAGTTTAAGTAAAGATAACAACAGCCCATCTGTTCCAGAGAAGATAAAGAAAGTGTGAGGATCGTACATGTGGATCAGCGTGACAATGAATCTCTAGGAGGAATATACATGGAAAAAGAGTACGCGAGGTAAAAGGTCTGTATTCTGGCAACTATGTACAACTTGTAAACAAGATTGCCACTGGCTCCCAGCAAGAGGTTCACGCAGTGATGGCCTTTTATGTGTGCTCATGAGCATGTGACTTAGTGCCTCACAAGAACACATGCAACTTCCAGCAGCTCACAAGCTGAGGCCTCTGGCCCTCACGGGTGCTGTTCGTCCGTGTAAGGGGTTCGCGGTGAATCCTTACAGAAAGATGATTTTGAGATTGTGATGTTCTTTAATAAGAATAATAAGAAGAATAATAAGATAGACAATGATTAGATTATTAATATCTAGAGAAGAAAGTTAGATTTTTAGTTCTTTTTTCATATTAATTTGAGAATAGAGTGTTATTAAATTAGCAAAATATTTTATTTTCCTGAAGAAGAATGTTCTATTTTGTAGAAGAAGAAGATTTTATAGTTGATTACTGTACTTACAGAGTAAAATAAAACTAACTATCTAGAGATTATCAAATTTTGTGTGGGCTCTGATCATATTTTGTTACTTTTTTGACTAAGGCAGAACTTAGAGAAAAATCAATTTAATTATTAAAAAAAAAAAAAAAAGAAAAATTTAATAACTGAAGCCAGCAAACAAGCAAAATCTACAGAGATTTCTTCAGAATTAATCATAGTTTAATATGGAAAAAATTAATTTATATTATGGAAGGAGCTGCATTATAAGTTATTTGTTACTTGATAGTTGACTACTGAAGCTGCTCAGTTGATTAATAATAAGAAGTATAGTGATCTCAACTGAAAGACAAAGCAACATTATTCTGATTTTTGGTCAAAATTTGATCAGATAGTAGAGTATTCTAAAAGTACTTCAGAAATGATTTACAAGTATTATTAAATCTTTCTCAGCTATTTAAGCTTTTCTTGAAATAGTACAAGTGATCTGAAGAAGCATTTAACAAGCAAAGATTATACAAAAACTGATGATGAACAGAGTAATACTCTGATTAACATAATGGTAGATTATGGATTCTAATTTCTCAAATGTAATAAATTTTAATAATAATTCTGATATCTTAGCAATAGTTTTCAAAGTATTCTTGAACAGATTCAGATCTGTCTGTTTCTGAATGTAATCAAGATAATTTTCTCTGACAGCTTGTGCAAATATTAATATTCTTGAATCTCTTATTTTGTGCTATTGAGAATCCAGCATTCCACACATTAATAACCATGCTTAACCCTGCAATAGCTTTACAGATACCTACACAAGAAATATTATATTAGATTATGAATAATATATATAATCAGCTATTATGAAATCTTCTTTTTGATTATAATCCAACAACTAAGATATCTCTAGCAGTGAATAATTAGACAAGTCTCAATAATCTTGTCTTTATAGTAATTAATAGTTATTACATTACAAAGGATTGGGAGTACCATAAGCATTTACTGAATTTTGAAAGTTTAGAGAATACTTATACTAACAAGAATATAATAGAGATTCTTTAATAATTACTAGCAGTATAAAGACTTGAGAGTAATCTTCTTATAATTATAAGTGACAATGCATCAAATAATGGTACCATACAAGCACATCTTATATATTAGTTGAGGCTAGCATTGCAGCAGTTAAATAAGATAACTAATTGGAATACAGAGAGTGGAATAATACTTTGCCTGTAAGAATTCGCCGCGAACCCCTTACACGGATGAACAGCACCCATGAGGGCCAGAGGCCTCAGCTTGCGAGCTGCTGGGAGTTGCATGTGTCCTCGCGAGGCACTAAGTCACGTGCTCGCGAGCACACATAAAAGGCTGTCACTGCATGAACCCCTTGCTGGGAGCCAGTGGCAATCTTGTTTACAAGTCATACATAGTTGCCAGAATACAGACCTTTTACCTCGCGTACTCTTTTTCCATGTATATTCCTCCTAGAGATTCATTGTCACGCTGATCCACACGTACGATCCTCACATTGCCTTGCTTATATAATTTAACTTGTGGTTCAAGAGCTAGTTTGCAATCTCAAGATTCAGTCAGACAATAATACTCTATTCACTATTTTTGATAAGAGCTCAATTACTAATAATCTAGCATCAACAAATACATTTGCAAATACTCTTAGAAAGATAATGAAATTTGGTAACAGTCTTGATATACTTGAGTTAATTTACTAATCTTTGCTTGATAATAGATTTATCTTGTTACTAATGCAATCAATGTCTCTCCTTAACTTACTGCACATTTCCAAGAATATTAACAAGAGAACCAGCATAAGATAATTCAAGATATTTGCACAAGATGAAATTTCATCTATAAGATGTGTGTTTATGTCTTATTGCTTTAACAAGCTGTAGACTCATGGATCCAGAACTCATCATCAAAATACTAAAAACTTTACTTATTGGACCATAACTAGAAGTAGCTAGAGTATATAGTTGAACTGTTGCAGTTATTTAATTAATTTATCAAGATACTGTTCAAAACAACAGGCCTAATAATTTATCTGATATGAACAACATACAATTATCTTTTCTAGTATTTAGAAAGAGAGAAGAACAAGATTCAACAGTTAACAATAAGAGAGAATATTCAAGAAGCTATTAAAGCTGCTAACTTGAAATTTCAGAAATACTATAATAATACTGAGCATTTAAAGAGTGAGCTGCTAGCTATAGCTGGTGTTCTTTATTTATCATACTGCATGAGAGTATATGATTCAGAGAATTGAACCAGTGATGAGCATGAAACATACTAATAATATATTTTGAGATTTTACAAAAAGTATTATGAGAAATATAAATAGTTAAGAGAAGTAATACTTGATATAAATAATGTATGTTTGTTATAAGTATTATTCTGATTTCTTCTCTGCTAACTTCTCTAGAATATTGAGCAAATAATTTTTGAGAGATCTTATTAAAGATAAGCAAATTTTCAAAATAAAATAAAGCAATATTTAAATAATGAGAATTTGATATTATCTTGAGCTTCAATTCTAAAACAGTAGAGAATACTAGAGTCTGATTTTCCAACTGTTGCTCAGATGGCAAGAGACATTCTAACTATATCTTTAATAGAAGTTGAAGTAGAACAGGTTTTCAATGTTGTTTGGAATACATATCATTATTAATAATTACAGCTCCATGCATCTACAATCAAGAAGATCATGCTGCTTAAACATAGAGATAAGATGCATATACTAGATAAAGCACTTATATTATATAAGGAGTTGGTCAAGAAAGTCATTCAAGATAATCAAGATAATTAAAATACCCCAGAGATTGTACAGAAAGAGATTGCAAGTCTGCTAAATCCACTACTTAATTCAGATAAGAAACAGAAAATATGTCAACATTATTAATAGATAGACTCAAGTAGCTAATAGTTTGCAATATAATTCAATTATGCAAAGAGCATTACCAAATTTCAGTACTTTTCTAAAGTTGAATAAATTGATAAAATTATATTAGAACTATTACCAAATTTTATTACTTTTTGATAATATAAATAAGATTGAAGTTTCTGGTCTCATTTTACACTTTACTGGTCCTGTCTCATATATAATATTGAAATCCTGATCCTATTCCATTTTGTCATATCAGGTCCCAGGCCTGTTCTACTAGCTAGATTTTGATCCCAGTCCCAATTCCATCTTAATCCCAGTTCCCACAGAACTGTCCCAATATGCTGTTAGACAACCTGGTCCCATCCTATTAAGCTGAGCTTCAACCTGATCCTGTCCTTGGGATGGGAATTGGGACAGGAATCTGGGACTGGAATGGGAAATCCCAGAACCAGATACCACTCTAAGAAGTCAGATGATTTTAATAATATAAAACCTCTAAAAGCATCTTACTATTATAGCAAATCACTTGACAAGTGTAAATTGTAGTTAGCTTCAATAAGACAGCAGTTTTGCCTGAGAAAATTATTATAAAAGACACCAGATGTGGTCAGAATTAATTAGACATCCAGTTATTTTTATAACAAACTCCAGATGCATTAGTAGATACTGGAGATAGAGAAAGAACAAGTACTCATATCATAAAGCAAATTCAAGATATAGTGTAAGAATTAGGCTGGTATTTGGGACTGGAATGAGATCTCATTTCCCATTGAACCTGGTCCTGGTCCTGAATTTAGAAACAGCTGGGATCTCAAATATGAAATCTCAGTTCCATGTCCCATCCTACTCAAGAGCTTGAGGTCCCATTCCCATCTCTATCCCAGAAATTATTTCCTGGTCCCATCCTCAAATAGAAAATTATGTCCCACATTTCATTCTAGCAGAAATAGTAGACTTCCATTTCCCATCCTGGCCAGATCCATAGTGGGACCAGAATGGGACCAGAATTCCCAGTCCCATCATGTTAAATTTATAGAAAAGAGTCAAACTGATTAAATTTTGTGTAGACCATTACCAAATTTCATTACTTTTTTGATGAAGGCAGAACCCATAGAAAAATCAATTTGATTATCAAAAGAAACAAAGTATTAAAATTAACTAATAACTAAAGTCAGCAAACAAACAGGAACTATCTAAATAACAAGTTAATTATTATTATCATCATCTTCATCATCATCATCATTCTTCTCCTCTCTCTTCTTCTTCTTCTCTTACTTCTTCTTCTTCTTCTTCTTTTTCTTCTCCTTCTTCTTCTTCTCCTGCTCCTCCAGAACTGGCTTTGTGAACCAGACAGAAGCTCTAATATCCACCATTTGACAGGTGAAGACCCTGATGGCACCAGAGAGAGACAGAGAGATGGTGGTGGGCAGTGGCAGTGATGGTGGAGCAGCAGTAGCAGTAGTTAGTGAGGTGGGGGCAGTATGCAGGCAGTGGGTGGTGGTGGCTGGGATGAGATAATCAGGTGCATCAATCAGACCAAAATAGTTTAACCTAATTTTGGTACTGACACCAAGAATAAGCTTCATATCATCAGTATTGACTGTAATGTGCTTACAGTGTGCCATTGCCATAACAGAGTCTATATTACTTAGTATAATTATTAATATTATTGCTAAGAGTAACTTACACTTAAACAGAGTACACAAGATTGCTTCAGCTGTCTTCTGAAGTAACTCAATAACAGTATATTGCCAGCAATATTCATGTTCTTAGTAACAAGACAAAGTAATTTTCCAAATCAATTACTGGAACAGGGCCACCAGTAAGATTAGCTTAGTAGAGCTCTGAAAGTGATGGATTTTCTTGACAGCATCTATTTTCATTAATTAGCATCAAGACTGTTACCAAAAATCATTACTTTTTGACATATAAGTGCTGGCCTTTCAATTTTAAATGAGGGGGTGGGGGCAGGGATTTTTCTGGTCAAAGTTAACCAGATCAACATCTTTATTAGCTTTACACCAATTGCTCTTCTTCAGGGCCCATTCTTTCAATATGGTCTTGTGCTGCTTCTCTCCAGCTGTGTAAAATGAACATGCACAGGGAAAACTAACATCTTGTCAGTAAATAATGTGTGTCAGAGCAGTATTCTGCAAGTACTCATCTTTTAACACAACTCATTTTATTGCAGTATATGTTCATTGTACACACAGACATCAAATCACAGTAAATAAAAAGATAATGGGGAGGGGAAGAAAGAAGAATCATCAATATTAGCTCTGAAGAGAAAGAAGAAGAAGAGAAAGAGAAAGAGAAGAGAAGAGAGACTGATCTGATATTATTATCCTGTAGCTAGTATAGCAACAATATATTGATCTTGCCTATAGCAACATGCCTGTAGAATGTAAACAATGTGTATAGTAACTATTCTACAGTACTTAGTCAATACACTCTATAATTCTATTATTCTGTAGCCAGCATAGCAACAACACATTGAGCTTGCCTATAGTAACATGCCTGTAGAATGTAAATAATGTGTATAGTAACTATTCTATACAAGTACTTAGTTAATATACTCTATAATCTTATTATTCTGTAGCCAGTAATTCAACTCATTGCATACAATCATAAAGATGGGGCCAAAACAATATTTAATGAGAGAGAAGATCCATACAGCACAGAAGCACTGCCAGGTCTTGAAAGACTATTAAAAAGATATATTCAAGACAGAAGAGACAGATTGCAAGATACACCATGATATGTTAAAGAGAATTCAAGCAAAACATAAGTAGTATGCACTCTCAGTGGTCTGTGCTGAATTATATTGACATTCATTATAGACAGAATAGCAGTGAGAAGAATCACAAGATGATTAAAGATAAAGTCATTAAAGAGTTAATGGTCAAGCAATTTGCCAAGAGTAAGTCAAAAAAGTACTATAAGCACCAGCTCATGGTCTCTCAGCAAAAGAAGAGAGAGAAAGAGAAGAAGCATTATTAAGAAAAGACTACAGAGATCAAGAATGAAGCTCAGTAGAAAAAGAAGATAGAATTCAAAAGTAACAAAATTTAGTAATAGTTCTGATATATTTAGATCAAAACAAGCTAGATACAGCATTCTATTACTGCATATAAGAAGATCTGATTCTGCTAAATAATAGTCAGGCTTGAGGCCAAGATTATAATCTATAGTCATGATTATCTTGCTGTAGTCAGTATATTGAGAGAGAGAATTAAGAAGAAGATAAGAGAATTCCTGAACTAATTACAGAGTTTAAGTAAAGACAACAACAGTCCACCTGCTCCAGAGAAGATAAAGAAAGATGATTTTGAGATTGTGATGTTCTCTGATAAGAATGATGAGAAGAATAATGAGGTGAAGAATGATTGAATTATTAATATCTAGAGAAGAAAGTTAGGTTTTTAGTTCTTTTTTCATATTAATTTGAGAATGGGGTGCTATTAAATTGGCAAAATGTTTTATTTTTCTGAAGAAGAATGTTTCATTTTGTAGAAGAAGAAGATTTTGTAGTTAGTTGCTGTACTTACAGAGTAAAATAAGACTAACTATCTAGAGATTATTAAATTTTGTGTGGGCTCTGACCACATTTTGTTACTTTTTTGACTAAGACAGAACTTAGAGAAAAATCAATTTAATTATAAAAAAAAAAAAAAAAAGAAAAATCTAATAGCTGAAGCCAGCAAACAAGCAAAATCTACAGAGATTTCTTCAGAATTAACTATAGTTTAACATGAAAAAAAATAATTTGTATTGTGGAAGAAGCTACATTATAAGTTGTTTGTTACTTAGTAATTGACTACTGAAGCTGCTTAGTTGGTTAATAATAAGAAGCATGATGATCTCAACTGGAAGACAAAGCAACACTATTCTGATTTTTGATCAAAATTTAATCAGATAGCAGAGTATTCTAAGTGCACTTCAGAATTAATTTGCAAGTATTGTCAAATCTTTTTCAGTTATTCAAGCTTTTTTCAAAATAATACAAGTAGTCTGAAGAAGCATTTAATAAGCAAAGATTGTACAAAAACTAGTGACAGACAGGGTAACACTCTGATTAATATAATAGTAGGTCATGAATTCTAATTTCTCAAATATAACAAATTTTAGTAATAGTTCTGATGTCTTAGCAACAGTTTCTGAAGTATTCTTAAACAGATTCAGATCTGTCTGTTCCTGAATGTAATTAAGATAATTTTCTCTGGCAGCTTGTGCAAACATTAATATTCTTGAATCTCTTATTTTATGCTATTGAGAATCCAGCATTCTGTATATTAATAATCATGCTTAATCCTGCAATGGCTTTACAGATACCCACACAAGAAACATTATATCAGATCATGAATGATATATATAATTAGCTATTCTGAAATCTTCTCTTTAATTATGATCCAGCAATCAAGATATCTCTGGCAGTAAATAATTAGACAAGTCCTAATAATCTTATCTTTATGGCAATTAATAGTTATTATATTACAAAGAATTAAGAGTACTGTAAGTATTTACTGGGTTTTGAAAGTTTAGAGAATGCTCATACTAACAAGAATATGATAGAGATTCTCTAATAATTACTAGCAGCATGAAGACTTAAGAGTAATCTTCTTGCAATTACAAGTAACAATGTGTTAAATAATGATACCATGCAAGCACATCTTACATATTAGTTAAGGCCAGCATTGCAGCAGTTGAACAAGACAACTGATTAGAATACAGAGAGTGAGATAATACTCTGTCTTGCTTATATGATTTAACTTGTAGTTCAAGAGCTGATTTGCAATCTCAAGATTCAGCCAGACAATAATACTCTACCCACTATCTTTGATAAGAGCTCAATTACTGATGATCTAGCATCAACAGACACATTTGCAAATACTCTTAGAAAGATAACAAAATTTGATAACAGTCTTGATATACTTGAGTTGATTTACTAATCTTTGCTTGATAATAGATTCATCTTGTTACCAATACAATCAATGCCTCTCCTTAACTCACTGCACATTTCTGAGAATATCAACAAGAGAACCAGTGCAAGATGATTCAAGATGTTTACACAAGATGAAATTCCATCTATAAGATATATGTTTGTATCTTGTTGCTTTGACAAGCTGTGGACTCATGAATTTAGAACTCATCACCAAAATATCAAAGACTTTGCTTATTGAACTATAACTGGAAGCAGCTAGAGTATATAGTTAAACTGTTGCAGTCATTCAGTTAATTTATCAAGATACTGTCCAAAACAACAGATCTAATAATTCATCTGGTATAGATAACATATAATTATCTTTTCCAGTATTTAGAAAGAGAGAAGAATAAGACTCAACAGTTGACAACAAGAGAGAATATTCAAGAAGCTATCAAAGCTGCCAACTTGAAATTCCAGAAATACTATAGTGATACTGAGCATTTAAAGAATAAGCTGCTAGCTGTAGCTGCTGCTCTCCATCCATCATGCCATATAAGAGTATATGATTCAGAGAATTGAACCAGTAATAAGTGTGAAACATACTGACAATATATTTTGAGATTTTACAAAAAGCATTATGAGAAATATGAATAGCCAAGAGAAGTAATACTTGATATAAATAATATATATTTATTATAAGTATTATTCTGATTTCTTCTCTGTTAACTTCTCTAGAGTATTGAGCAAATGATTTTTGAGAGACCTTATTAAAGACAAGCAAATTTCCAAAATAAAATAAAGTGATATTTAAATAATGAAAATTTGACATCATCTTGAGCTTCAATTCTGGAACAGTGGAGGATGCTAGAGCCTGATTTTCCAACTGTTGCTTGAATGGCAAGGAATATTCTAGCTATATTTTTAACAGAGATTGGGGTAGAACAGATTTTCAATATTGCTTGAAATACATGTCATTATTAATAATTACAGCTTCATGCATCTACAATCAAGAAGATCATGCTGCTTAAATATAGAGATAAGGTGCATATGCTGAATGAAGCACTCATATTATATAAGAAGTTGGTCAAGAAAGTTATTCAAGATAATCAAGATGATCAAGATATCTCAGAGATTGTATGAGAAGAGATTGCAAGCCTGCTAAATTCACTACTCAATCCAGATAAGGAACAAGAAATACATCAATATTATCAATAGATAGACTCAAGTAGCTAATAGCTTGCAATATGATCCAATTATGCAAAGAGCATTACTAAATTTTGGTACTTTTCTGAAGTTGAATAAATTGATAAAATTATATTAGAACTGTTACCAAATTTTGTTACTTTTTGACAACACAAATGGAATTGGAGTTTCTGATCCCATCTTACACTTTACTGGTCCTGTCCCATATACAATATTGAAATTCTGGTTCTATCCCATTTTGTCATGTCAGGTTCCAGGCCTGTTCTACTAGCTAGATTTTGATTCTGGTCCCAATCCCATCCCAATCCCAGTTCCCATGGAACTGTCCCAATATACTGTTAAATAACCTGGTTTCATTTCATTAAGCTGAGCTTCAACCTGATCCTGTTCTCAGGACAGGAATTGGAATGGGAATCTGGGACCAGGACAGGAAATCCTGGAACCAGATACCACTCTAGTAAGAATAATATTGAATCTGAAATAACACACAGTTAAGATATAATG